GGCGCCTGGCAGTTTGCCAGGAGGAGTGGTTTGTGAGGCAACGCCACCGAGCCATTAAGATGGTGGGGATTCCTTATTGGCTGATTGCTGTAACTGGATGATGCTAATTGAGTCAAGCTGTGTGTAATCAGTTAGGTATATATACCCCTGCTTCTCCGCAATAAAACAGTTCCTGATTCAACCTTCAAGTTGCTTGTCACCTCCAGGTTATTTTGCCCAGCCGGACTGCGGCAATTTTTTAATCCCTTTGTCACAGATTATTCTGTCCAATATAGTAGCAACTAGCTCCATGTGACTATTTAAATTTAAATTAATTTAATTAAAATTAAGGCTTTAGTTTCTCAGGCATGCTTAATAACATTGGAACAGTGCAGAACACAGAACATTTCTTTCATCACAGAATTTTTATTGGCTAGTTCTGTTCTAAACTATTTGGAGTTCAAATTTATTTTCTCTTCAAAAGCATGGATTCATTGAGAACACTAAATTTTGTTCTCTTAAGCTTCAAAATTTGTTCAAGAAAATTGTAGGGAATCATTAAGATCGGTAAATATAGGTTAAAAAATTCAACAATATGAACTTAAAACAAGTCAGATATTTCTTGGAGCGGGCAACCTCCTCTTAGGTATTCACTGTATTCTTGTGCAGGTTTCTGACTGCTCCATCAGAGCTACTTCATTTTACACAGATTTTTCTGAATCTTTTTTTGTACAGTTTACTCATTCCTGTGGTCTATGCTAGGCAAGAATGGATTGTTTATGGTTATAATGGGATACTACGTGTAACGTGAATGAAAAACAATCTACTACATTTCTCTCACAGTTGAAGTATACTTTTCAGAGAGCTCTCTAAGAGGGACAATTTCCTAAGAACTTCCAGCATCAATCAAGGTTAAAAAAGAAAGAAAAAAAAAAGTAAAGGAGACATTTATTATTATTAACAACTTTTTCCTGTGTTTGTGTTGTTTCAAGTTAATCAATTATACTGTAGAAAAGAAATCTGTTGCAAAGCTTACACTATATTTTAAAATGATTTCCCTAGTAACAAATGTAACAGACAATGCTTCATCCCATATGTTTATTATTTTACTAGATTGGTGTCCTTAGATTTGTTCACATCCTCTTTTTCTTTCAGAGATTCATGGAGATGTTCCTAGTAGGAAAGAAATATCTTTAACAACTGTTCCTTTTTGTTAAGAAGAGAGAGGGCTGGAGTTATGTGGGAATAGTGATAAAAACAAACAGAAATAAGTATATATGCAGATGTTTAATGAATAACCCTACTTTGCAGGTGGACTGTTTAATTTATCTACTTATTTGTTTGTAGTTTGATAAGTAGAAGGGCTTGGATACAGAAAGCAAATAGTTGTTTAAAATATAGAATTCTTTCTCTCACACACAAAATAGGGAACCAATTCTACTTTGGACACACTGGGCCTTGCTTTTGAAGAAAAAATCAGTAGAATAGTAGTGATAGCCACTCAAATATACTATAATTTTATGTCCTTTTTGTTTTGCCTTCAGGGAAATCATAAAGACATGAAAAACACAAATATAGATATTAAGTGTTATGCTTTAGCAATGTAAATTGTAGGTTATATTGAAACACGACTGCATCTTAAGGGTTTTTGCCTTTAGAATGATGAGGGAGAGAAGAGGTTCATGAGGCAGAGAATATAAGCTTTTGCTCATGGGAAGGTTTTATTGGGATGAGGTGGTGGTGTTAAAAGTGGCTTGCACAAAATGACAAGTGGAAGATGATGAGATGCGTGGAAAAGGAAGTTTTTATTTGGAAATAATTTTAAACGTACTGCAATATGTACAAAGGCCTACAAAGCACACTTAAAAATTCCCTTTACCCAGATTCATCTATTAAAATTTAGTTCCACGTGCTTGAACATTTGTTTTCTGTATCTGTTTTTGTCTGTGTGTTTAACTTTTTTGGGGGGGATTATATGAGAGTAAGTTGAGCCAAATATTTCAGTAACATAACATTGATACATACCCTCACCAACTACCATCCCTATTCTGGTGTGGTCAGTTGGCCCAGTAATATTCTAGGGTCACATATGTCTTTTGGTTGTCTTGCATTTAGTCTCCTTTTTTATGGGAAAGTTCTTCAGTTTTTATAACATTGGCATTTTTGAAGAGCATTTCCTCAGTCTTCCATTCTCTTACTTCTAAAAATAGGAAGTTTCTCAACTTGGGTTTTGTCTGAAATTTCTTCATGATTAGATTTAAGTTATGCCTACCTACCTGGAATACCATGTTCATTATATTATGTGCTTCTTGGCACATAATATAATATATAATATATAAATATAATATATAAAATAATAATATATAATATATAATATATAAAATAATATATAATATAACCCTTCATTAATGATGCTAATTATGGTCTTCTAGACTAGGTATTATTTCTCCACTGTGCAGGTACTATTTTTACTTTTGCAACCAATAAGCAATCTCTGGGAAACACTTTAACATTCAAATACCTGATTCTTGTCAAAGTTAATATTCATTAATGATTTTTGCCTGAACCAATATTGATGTGCTGTTCAAAAATTATAATGCCCATCTCTCCTCTCTCTCTCTCTCTCTCTCTCTCTCTCTCTCTCATTAGTGTAGCCTAATTGATTCCCATTTTTCCAAAGTCTTATAATTTTAAAAATTTTCCACAATTATTTTGGCACTCAAATTATGCCAGATTTACAAGTTCACACTGGCAATATTGTCCTTACGAAATGCTCTGACATTTAAAAGAATATATTTCTAAGTTTTAGGCATAAAAATGGTTTGTTTCTCCATGTACTCCCTTTCTGTCCTGTCATTGGATCAAATCATTTCTTTGAGAAGCCCTAGTTCCTCTCATTGGTGAGAACTATTAAACAGTAAGATGTGGATCATAGGAGTGTTCATTGCTACTCAACTATCTTTGATCCTATGAAAAGGCAAATTATAGAATACTTGATGAAATGAAAAGCTGGTATTTTCCTGCTGAAAGTGCAAGGTACTTGGAAAAGTTATATGTATACACATAGGTGTGTGTATCTCTATCTGTACACTTTCTTGGTAATAAATTTATATAGTCTATAAGTTTTAAATGGGGTGTGTGTGTGTGTGTGTGTGTGTGTGTAAGGAACTGAGGGAGGGAGTCATTTTCTTTTAGGCAACAGCATTATTATTGGGTGCTAGCAAAACAGGGATTTCCAAGACTTATGGAGACAATATCCTTTACACAAACTCTCAAACACAGCACTTCCTATGGTGGCAGTGGTAAGATCCCTTTAGTCATCTTGAGAATAAAGCAAGAGATGTGTAGGACCTTATCAGGAAAGCTGATGCAGGAGAAGAGAATATGTGGGCACCAGCATGTTTTTATTCCATTACAAACTTGGAAACACATAGATGCACCATGTGGGGAACCCCAGGAGCAACCTGGAGACACTGCAACAAGACTTACTTCTGAGCCATCATATCAGTGAGAGCTTGAACATGAACTGGGAAATCAAGTCAAAATGAATTGATTTAAAACTCACAGACTAGTGAAGCCTGCAATACCAGGGATGTTACACACACACACACCCACCCCCCCACACACACACACACAAACACACACCATTTAAAACTCACAGACTAGTGAAGCCTGCAATACCAGGGATGTTACACACACACACACACACCCCACACACACAAACACACACCATTTAAAACTCATAGACTATATAGATTTATTACCAAAAAATAAACAGATAAAGATTCACACACCTACGTGTATACATATTACTTTTCCAAGTACCCTGCACTTTCAGCAGACTCCAGACAAGGTATGGGTAAATGAAAATAAAAGTAGTCCAGTCTCTAGCTTGAAGATTCAGATGCAATGTTGCACTTATTCATAGTTAAATAAAGTAAAAATTATTCACCTGTCAGGTCAGGTGGATTCTGAAAATCTTTTTTAGACTATATACCTCATTTAAAACAAAAAAAGCACCAAATGTCTAAAGAAACCAGCTTGGCCCCTATTTCTCTATTTGAACTTTAGATGACAGCATGAATCTACACTTCCAGGGACATGGCTAATTTAAAATACCACTCCAGCCCACTCCAATTGCTGCCCACTACTCTGTAGTAGGTTTAAAACTATACTGCTTTTTAAGGATCCAAGGTGATTTACTATGTAAGTTATTGCTTGTTTTAATAAATTTTTATTGATTTTGGACACTGAAAACTGGCTATTAGCTTGGGAAATACTTTACCATTGATTAGATTAACGTCAATTTGAAAAAGATATTTCTCCAAGTCAGTTCAAGCTGTCCAAAGCAAAAATAAATAAAAAAATTAAAACATCCAAAATTCTAAATTACAAGCAATAAAAAATGTTTCTCAAATTATGTTTAAAGTGATTATGAGTAAACTCTTGCTCTGTCTTCACACTCTATACTATAGGGATTTTGAGATTATAATTTGAAGGAGATGTAATTTCTTCCTTTTGAGGAAAAAAAAAAAAAGAACTCTAATTTGTCATTACTGCCAAAGTGGCTGCTCAGGGGAGCTACCTCAGGAAATAAAACTCAGTGTTTGGTGGCCTAATTATTTCTCAACTCTGGTGGCTACAGATGAGATTTTTCAAAAGGTAAAGTGACACAGGCAGAAAATAACTTTTTAGATAATTCACAAATTAAATTTTGAAATATAGACAATGGACTGAGTGTGTTGTCAGCCATTTATTTAGCAATATGATTTGACTGTATCTTTAATGGTTTTCTGCAAAAAGTTCCTGCTCTAAATGCATTAAAACCTTAGCAATACTTTTCAGAAAGGCCAAAAGTTTATAGATAATGTGCAAAAAAAAAATATTGTTATAAAATTGCTCTCACTTTAACTAGAGATATTTTTCCCTCCCAGAAGCCCAGGAAATTGCCATCTCTTTCTTTTTTTAAGTTGAAAAAATTGGAAATTTGGGAACTTGAAAATAATTCAAGCAAGAAGACAATGGTGAACAATTTCTCCCAAGATGAAGCTGTGGAGCTCTGTTATGAGCATGTGAATGGATCCTGCATTAAGACCCCTTATTCGCCAGGCCCTCGAGTGATCCTGTATGCAGTCCTGGGTTTGGGGGCTGTACTGGCTGTGTTTGGAAACTCACTGGTCATTGTTGCCATCCTTCACTTCAAACAGCTGCATACACCCACCAACTTCCTGATCGCATCCTTGGCCTGTGCGGACTTCTTGGTGGGAGTGACAGTGATGCCCTTCAGCACAGTGAGGTCTGTGGAGAGCTGCTGGTACTTTGGGGAGAGCTATTGTAAGCTTCACACGTGTTTTGACGCATCTTTCTGTTTTGCCTCTTTATTTCACTTATGCTGTATTTCTATTGATAGATATATTGCTGTCACTGATCCTCTGACCTATCCAACCAAGTTCACGGTGTCAGTTTCAGCAATATGCATTGTTCTCTGTTGGTTCTTTTCAGTCACATATAGTTTTTCTATCTTTTATACTGGAGCCAATGAAGAAGGAATTGAGGAGTTAGTAGTTGCTCTCACCTGTGTAGGAGGCTGTCAGGCTCCATTGAATCAAAATTGGGTTCTGCTTTGTTTTCTTCTATTCTTTCTACCCACTGTTGCCATGGTGTTTATATATGGTAAGATATTTTTGGTGGCTAAGCATCAGGCTAGGAAGATAGAAAGTACAGGTAGCCAAGTTCAATCATCCTCAGAGAGTTACAAGGAGAGAGTAGCGAGAAGAGAAAGAAAGGCTGCTAAAACATTGGGGATCGCTGTGGCAGCCTTTCTTATCTCTTGGCTACCATACATCATTGATGCTGTGATTGATGCTTATATGAATTTCATAACTCCCCCTTATGTTTATGAGATACTAATGTGGTGTGTTTATTATAATTCAGCTATGAATCCCTTGATATATGCTTTTTTTTACCCCTGGTTTAGGAAAGCGATAAAACTTATTGTAAGTGGCAGAGTCTTAAGGAGTGATTCATCAACAACTAACTTATTTTCTGGAGAAGCAGATATAGATTGAAAAGATCACCACAGGGATTTCGAAGATAACTAAGATCAAGTGCAAAAATAAATACTTGGATTTTGAGAGGCAAGTGTAATTATTGACCAAGTAGGAGGGTCTTACATTTGACAGTTGTTCTAAGATGTTTGTCGTCTTCAAGTAGAATTTAGTGACAGATGAAAAAGATTGTAAGTTTCTTCTAATTTAGTATTTTTAATGGATTACTGATCTTCCACTTTCTTCTCTGAAATTCTTACATGTTTCTTCAAATAGTTTGAAGCATTGCAATACCTCTCCTATGCATGATCAGTGTTCAGTTTTCCAAAATACACAGAGGGGGGAAAAGCTCTTGCTTAACATGAAAGTTAGATTTTCTGGGAAAAAAACTCTTCTTTAAAGCATATAGTGCACAGTAAGTAACAAGTTTATAAATTCTTGAAACATTTTTTATTCTAAAGCGACTTTGTAGTCAGTGCCCAGATAGCTCAGTTGATAGAGCATGAGACTCTTAAAAGGACTTCATGGAGACCTGGAATGTAAAACTTTCTAATAACTGAAGGTCATCTGAAAAGCATTTGTACCCTTGTGTTTTCTGACTTTGGTAGCTCTTCCTCTCATTTTATAGGTACTGCATTCACAAATAACATGTTTAGTGATTACTATGATTGAATATATTATTTTGGAGAACATGATTTATTATTGTAAAATATACATATGAATAAAGAGATGATCTCGGTACTTCATTTTTAGTAATTAGAAGTAAAATCAGAATTGTATTAACAAGGACAATTTAAATTATGATATTTTCACCTTTGAGTTCTTACTTTGAACTAGACACTGTATTTGGCATTGGAAACATATAAAACCAAGTGATCCAAAAATAAAAGTGGATTGTTTTGAGATAGCAAAAGCTCAAACAGGTATCATTCACTCTAGGAATAGTTTCAGTTCTCTTACCAGATATATATCTCCCAATCAACAAGAATTTTAATTCATTTTGTTGAGAAACATATATTTCATGTTTCAAGATGCAGGAAATTTTTGAAAAAGAAAACTAACAATCCAATGATTTTCCTTCTCAAATCTTTGAATCACTGGCTCAAATTTTACGTCTTTGCATCGTTGCCTTAAATCTTTGTTTAATAGGTGATTTTCACAGACCATTCTGTAACAAGCTTAATTTATGAAATGAGAAGAAAAAGTAACTAAGTAAATACTTCTACAAACATTTTATGCTATATATTTTATAGATGAATCAGATTGTAAATACTTTATACAAGATCACACTGTTTCATACTTGTTCACTAATATATTTTAAGTGGAGCTGAGAATATTTTGGAGAAAAAAAGTCAAAAGCAAAATAGGATAAAAGATGGAAATTTTCATAGCAGAATGCCTGTTGTGGTCGAAGCATAACATCCAGGAACAGGTGTAATGACCACTTTGAAATGATCACAGAATTTTAATCTCAGTTCATAAGAAGCCCCTCAAAGCTTTTGTCCCCTTGAGTCATAAGAAGCCCTTCAAAGCTTCTGTCCCCTTTAATGTCTTTGAAAGATACCTGTTCCTTTTGTCAATATAAATACAAACTTACATTGGCACTTATAAGTAATAGGGAAAGTAACTTGAAGAAATTTAAACATATATAGTCTTCTGCTCACCTGTATTATGTGGAATATAATCTTTAGATGAACTGACTGAAGAATAAATCCTGACCAGTGATGTTTTCAGGATCATATCAGCATCAGTTATCAGTGAATACATTTCTCCAGCCTAGAATTTCTTGATTATTTTTGTATTGTTCTTGTAGCCACTCATAAAGGAAGTAAGTCGTTTTTAATTTTTTTATTGGTGCATAATATTGATACATAGTACTGGGATTTATTGTGACATATTCACACATGCACAAAACATAATTTGATCAGTTTCAGTCTCTAGTATTTTACCTTGTTCTTCCCTCCTCTCTCTCCTTGATCTTCCTCCTCTACCCTATTAGGCTCCTTTATAATTTCATGAGATTTTTTTTTTCCTTTTGTCACTCTAGCTTCTACATATGAGATAAAAATAAGACCCTTGACTTTGCAGCCTGGGCTGTTTAGCTTAACAGGATTCTCTCCAGTTCCATCATTTTCCCTGTAAAAAAAAACCCACATAATTTTGTTCTTCTTCGTGGCTTAATAATACTTCATTATGCATATATACCATGTTTTCTCTATCCCATTCATCTGTTGATGGACACTTAGGTTGGTTCTATAACTTGATGATTGTGAGTTGCTCTCATATAAACATTGGTATGCAAGTATTGCTGTAGTATGTTAGTTTTAATTATAAAAGGAAGTCTTTTGTCAAAAGTTCTTGTCTGTTTTCCTCAAAATGGACTGGACTATTGGTACAGCACCACTCCTCTCTTTTGTACCTCATTTATTCACACAAATGAACTGTAAACATCTTTGCCAGTCGCATACCAAGATCCTGCATAGCCATGGACACACTGAAGATAGAAAGCAACTTCACTCTGCAAGACTCTGCAAAATAACATCTGACCTGAGGTCATTAATCCCCTTATGCCCGGGGTTTAGCTATAGAGATGCTGTGCCTCTCACATATATGTACTATTATTAAAAATACAAGATTGTTGTGATTAATAAAAGAGAAATCTATTTAAAGCCTTTCTTTACTCATAATAGTTTTTGTTCATGTGTGTTTTCTCAATTAGGTAATAAAAGAACAACTACTACATCATGTGGAAATCTGTGTATAATTACTATGGCTTACCTCAGTTTCAGTCAGGATTAGGATAACTTACCCAATTATTTTGTGGTAGGGCTGTGAATACACCATCAATGACAATTTATAAGACAGAATAGGGGGCTGGGAGTTTAGCTCCGTGGTGGAGTGTTTGCTTGGCATGTGTGAGGCCCTTGGTGCCAACCCAGCATAGTGAAAAACAAAAACAAAAACTATACCATAGACCATCACTAACTTTGAGGTTCTCTCAGAGAGCTTCCAAGGTGGTTGGGCATTACTATTTTTTGTTTGTTTGTTTCAAAATATCATTATTTTTGTTGGTGCATTATAATTATGCTTCACAGTGGGATTTGTCATTACAAATTTGTACACACGATTTAACAATATAAATTTGTTACTTTTGTTTCTCAGTAGCACTCCTGATTGGGTATTATTATATTAGAGTTCATTATTACTGATGACCTAACTGGATTGATGAGTTCAGGATGTTTTCACAGCTTGTCAAGATACTGTACTTGTTTTTATTTAGCTATCATGCTTTTGACTTATATCTCATTCTTCATTGTTGACCCACTGCAGCCCATTTAAAGGTCAGTCTTAAAGAATGACATTTCAGCTTTGCATTTGTATTCAAAAAAGCAGAGACACATTAGTAATATTAATTTAAAGATCAAATTATTTGACATGAGCATTAAATGAAACCTTCATGTCCTTGGGTGCCTAGAAAATGTGTTCTTTTACAACACTTTTTCCTTTTATTTTTATGATTCATTATGAAATAAATTTCATTGTGTATATTTGAAGTTGATGAGGTAACGATATGGGATATGTAAGCATAGTGAAATTGTTACTGAAGTGAAGTTAATTGTGTTACATAGCTACTTTGTTGTTACAAGAACCGCTAAAATGTGCCAATGTTAATAGAAGTCGCTAATATAATAGAATTCAATGAATGGTACTCCTCATGCACACTAGATCTCTTGCCTTGTTTATACTATGATTTTGCTTTTTTGCATCCTTTGACCTACATTTCCTCATTACTTTCCCTCTCCATTTACTAAATTCAAAAATTAACTAACAATTTTGAAACATGTTCACCTATAAACAGATACACTTCTGTACTTTCTAAAACATAATTTGAGGTTGACTGAAAATAATGTATTTTTTATTCTCACAAAGTCTTTGTTCATTATTTCAATACCTAGCACCGTGCCTTGCACTTTTTAAGTCTATAAGGATATTTTTAAATTAAATTAAGGATCACTTCTTTATTTTCACCTGTCAAATAAAGGTCTATTAGTCTTTTACATTTAAAATACTCTACTAATTTATTCTTTATTTGGTTTTCTCCAAAGTATAAAATGTTTAGTAGTCAGTATTTGGAGAAAGCCCAGCTTTAGCTTACTCATAGCTTTTGTCTAATGTAATTTTTTACTTACTAAGAAAAAGTGTTAGATCACATAAACATTTTTTAATGTTGGGTCTCCTTATTTGAAGTGTCAATACATAAGTGAGCCCTCAGAGATTTACTGTGAGGATTATACCTGGCAAGTTTATTTTTGAAAAGCAACACCTTCTTTTATCTGCAAGGGCTGTGCACGATGGAAAGTTCCAGAGTGACCATCCAAAAGCAGGCTACCAGGATTTGAGTCCCACCTCCACCATCCACTAGCTTCCACCTTAGAAAGTTACTTACCCTATGTGTATTTGAGTTGCTCACCCATAAGATGGAGATGATAATGGAAAATTCTCTTTGAGATTTTAATGTAACAATGACCATAATACAAAATGACACCATAAAATATGAAGACCGAAGTACCAATAAACAAAACACTACTACATATTCCTTGTTTCATGTCTTATAGATATTCTCAATGAAAAGACTTTTATAAGAATATTTTATTCAAGAAACTTTCAAAGCATACCTTTGTTATAATTGAATTTCAGAAATCACATAATTCTGTTAGCCAAACACACAATTTTAGTATTGTACACATCACTGGAGAGTATATTCTTTTATAATAAGAAATCAGAGCTAAGGAGAAACCACAGGGTTCTGTTGAAAGAGATTTTTGACTGATTCAGACAGTGATATGAGTTCAAAGGCAAATCCTTCATAGGGAATTGATAAATACATCTCCATGAGACATAGCATAAATCCAAATATACATAGTAATGTTAATATATATCTATACTTATAAAAGGATATTTGTATAAGATGCCAAAATTATGTTCCTATTATGTTGGTTCTTAGAATTAGCATCTTGTTT